ACAGGCACCGATACCGCTACTCCCTGGACCTCTCCGGGGGTGCGTTCTGACCGAGATTTCGAAGCGAATCCAGCCGTGGCGACGAGGGCCTCCCAGGCGGTCCAAATAAGGGGAACACGACGGAAGGGTAGCGGTATGGGTACCTTCTTCCTCCTCTGATATCAACATCTGCATCACCAAGCCCTGCCTCAGCAACCGGGTCATGTGTGGGATCTCGACACCGCGCTCCGCCCATCGTCGACGCAAGACACCACGGGCGGCCGCAGCCGCTTGACCTGCGAACCGACACACAGCTCCCGCTCGGGCGAGTCCACGCCGAGCAACGCTTCACGCACGGGGCCGTGCGACTCGTCCGGCGCTGGATCCCGCGCGGCGACATGGACAGGTTCGGGGGTTGCCCAACGTGCCCCTGGCCCAACGTGCCCCCAGCCTTCCGCTCCATTTTGGAGCCCCTGGGGACCCCTGGGCTTATGTTGCTCCCATCGTACTTGAGAACCACATCCAAGAAACAATTTCGAGCACCCAGAAAAGTGTCGAAAGAGTGTCGAAACAGTGTCGAAAGAGTCTCCCAGGGCCCGACACGTGAAAACCCTCGAGTTTAGGGGTGTTCTCTTGGTTTCCGAAATTCATTCTGGTGCTCAAGGCAAGGCTCAAGTAGGTTGGAACATCATAACCTTCGGCCCCGTGAGGGAGTGCTCCGCAGGCCGTGGGCTCCTCCCTGGAAGCCCGGGGGGCACTCTGGGCCAGGGGCACGTCTGGCAGCACCCGGCCGGTGGGCCGCCCAGGCCTCAGACCCACCCGCGGTGGGCTCGAGCGTGGCGTGGGCGGAGACTCCGACGTGCGGGCCCCGCAGCATGGCGTGGTCCTACGACCATGCCGTCCACCACGGCCGACGGCCGCCCCGCTCGTGGCAGCGACTGCGGCCTTGCGCCGCCACGCTCGGGGCCAGCCACCATGGCCTGCGCCGAACTGGCTACGGCCAAGCCGTGCACGTCACTGGGACGTCCTCAGCTGTGTTAAGGAGGAGGAGGAAGAGAGGAGGAAGAAGATGATGATGAGGAGGAGGAGGATGAGGAGGAGAAGGAGGAACAGGAGGAGAGCGGAGGAGTAAGCACTCGCTTCGCACGGAGCGTCCACCTCAAACAATCAATACGGCGCTGCTGCCGCACGGGGCCCCGAATGGCCGGTGAGGTACCTTTCGTCCTTCGAACTGTCTCCTCGCCTCCCCAGTCAGAGCAAAGGAGCTGCCCGGGCCTAGCTCGCTGATGTCCGAGTCGAGGCCGGGAGGAGTCTCTCCAGCGGGCGTCACGATCACCTCGGGGTCTTGCCGAAAGGTTGAGGATGGTGAGCTCCCCTGGAGACTCCGGAGTCTCTCGTGGCCGAGCCAAGACCGAAGCACGTACGCCCGCTGTTCAAAAACCATGGGGGAGTGTATGGATAAGGAGGGGGCGGGGACGGCGTCTTTGCTCTCCCTGCATCCTTCGTCATGCCCCCAAGCATGCTGAAGCGTGGCGCAATGACAGGTGATGCCCGGTAGGGCCTCGAAAACGCAAATCGAGGGCCCGGCCCCCCCACCCCTACACTTCTTGGCGGCGAGCGGGGGGGGGAACTGTTACGGAGAGGGGCCTTCTCGGAAGGCGGCGGGACTTCTCAGAAGCCCTCGCGCCTCTCTGCATCCTCGGGGAAGGCTCAGACAACTTCTCGGGCGGCCAGGGTGCTTCCGAGTCTTCTGAGAGGGCCCGCCCCTTCTCGCTTCCCCCCACCTCGCTCGCCGCCGATGCACACCACTTGAACAGGGACCGACCGTCCCGGCATTTCTATAGTCCTACCACGAACTTTTCTTAGAACCCCCAAATGTTCTAAGAACAAAAGGAGCGTTCTTAGAACTTAAGCCTTATGTGTTAAAACGAGACAGCCCCAGCCAGAAATGTTCTAAGCACATCTCGTGGAAACCACAAGAGATTCTTAGAACATTGTTTGGTAGGGCTATAGGCGAGCCAGGACGCTTCGCCTTTGTTTGAACCACATTTCCCCGCACGCGCTGGCCCCCTCCCCCCTCTTTCGAGGCTCCCTGGGGCGGCCCGGCGCCTCCACCGAGGCACTCCAGGCAGGCCCTCCGAGGCCTGCAGGGCGGCCGAGGAGGGCCACCTGGGCGGCCAGGGCGGCGCCACCAGAACAGTCCCTCAAGACGCACCCAAGAAGAGCCCTCCAAGGGCGCCTATTGGGATGAACCGAAAGGGGGTCCAGCTAACAGGGGGCGGTGCAATAGGTTTGGGGCAATCGTGTTGCGAGTGCATATTGCGCCCGGGGACTGTGTTGCCTTGTGTTGCGAGTGATGTATTGCACGCGAAGGCCCAGCAATACACTTGCGCACCAGAATGTGCTGCACACCCCAATCTACTGCACCCCCACAAATCCACTGCACCAGAACGGCCCAGGATGGCTCCAAAACGGCCCAAGATGGCCTCAAGATGGCCTAAAAGGCTTTCACTATCGCCCACGAAGTCTCCACGAAGACCCCCAAGACATCTGAAAGAGGCGCACATTACGCATTTCATTACATGTCCATTGCGTTGTTGAACATGTTTGCACTTGTTGCCTTTCCCGGCTTCCGTCGGCTCACGTAGCCCCAAGAGCCTCCAACATCGCCCCACGGCGCCCCAAGAGGGCCTCAAAACGGCCCCAGAGAATCCTAACACGGCCCTGGACGCCTCCCAATTCGGCCTAAGACGACCCCAAGACGGCAAAACCTGCCTCCAAATTGGTCCCAAGCTGGTGAAAGACGCCTCTGACCCAAAACCCATAACCCAGAGCATTGTTTCTGTGTCCCCTTCCTCCTTCGCCTCCTCCTCCTCCTCCACCTCGGCCGCCAGGTGGGTTCAAAACTGCTTTCCAGAGGTCCCCGAGAAGCGTGCCGCGAGATCCCTATACACATACAAAAAGCCTCTAACCCATAGCACATATCCCAGAGTTTCGTCTCTGTGTCCCCGTCCTCCTCCCCCTCTCCTCCTCTTCTTCCACCTCCTCCTCGCCCACTCTTCCTCTTCCTCCCCCGCCTCATCCTCTTCCTCCCCGATTCTTCTCCCCCATCCTCCGCCTCACCCCCCATCCTTCTCCCCCCCTCCCCCCTGTCCTCCCCCGCACGCGCGCCCCCGATTGGGCATCGTTTGCAGGTCTTGCATATCAGGGTGCCCTTTTTTTTGCATCGCGCGCGACGTTGGAGGGGCCCCCAGAGAACGCCGACTTCGGTAGTCTTCTCTTGCACGCGCCGCCGCACTGATCCGCCTGGCAACTGCGGGCTGTGAACCCGAGGTTCTTGCAGCCTCCGCACACCACTTTCGCTCCTTTCGCCGCTCGATGATCTTCCACTTGCTTATGCTTCAAATGTCTCGTGTCCGATAACGCTTCTCCGCACGCCGCACACGTCAGTGGCTTCGCGTCTGCCTCGGCTTTCCGCTTGCGATTCGCTGCCTCCGCATTCCCCCGTCGCACCTCTTTCTCTCGTTCTTCCGCGCATTTCCGACAGAGCCTTTCCCCCGCAGCATTGTGCTTCTTTTGGGCTTCCGACATATCCGCCTTTTCGTCATATAGCGACAGGCACTTACCGTTCGTACATCGCACTGTTCCGACGCTCTGATTCCACTTCGCGCTGTTTTTCCGCGAGTTCTGCTTGGCTTTGATACCGCTGCACTTCGCGCAGTACATGCCACCATGGCGTTGCCATGGTGGCATGTACATGCCACCGCGGAGGCCCGCAGTCAGGTAAAAAATAGAATCCCTTGAGACAGTGATGGCGACAATGACGACAATGATTATGACGAGGATGATACCGATGATGATGATGCTGATGCTTAGCATGATGATGATGGTGGGGGTGATAGTGATGATGATGATGATGATGATGATGATGATGATGATGATGGTGACGGTAATGATGATGATGGCGGCGATGGCCTCGGGCTCGCAACGTGCCTGGACCTAGCAATGCGAAACAAACCGCGAACACCTTCTCGGTTCCCAAGCGTGTGAGACTCGTCCCCTCCACAGCCCCGGGGTTCCCCGTGCGGGCTCAGGGATGCCCCAAAAAACAACCCCGCCTCACCAAGAAATATACGGGCCCCACTCCAACGCTTCCACCCTTTGGGCATCTCCAGAACGATGCCAATATTGCATTCGCGTCCTTTCTTTTCCGATGGGCCCCCCAGGGCCTCGAGATGACCCCAAGCGGATTCCACATGGCCCCAAGAGGGGTCATTATGGACCCCTACACGACTCCCCAGCCCGATTCAAGCGAGCCGGCAAGACCGCCAAGATGAGGAGTCGGCGGATGTGGCGTAAGCCTATAGAATCTACTGCACCAAATCTATTGCACCGCCCCCTTTTCGCTGGACCCCCTTTTCCGCCAACCAAGAGCCCAACAAGTCCGAAAAGGTCTCCACCAAGCCCCAGGGCTCCCCCAGAATGCTCTCCAGGACGTCCATTTCCCGTGCATGTTTCGATTTCGTGCGTGTTTTTTGCTCGATGGTTCAGGATGGTCCTCGATGGTTCTCGCCGAGAAAAAATGCACACGTCCGAGCGATGCCAAGGAAGGGAGTCACATATGAGGGCCTTCAGGATGGTGCTCGACAGGTCGCCACACATACTGCTCCGATTCGCCACAGACAGCTGGATGCCCTGCCATGCCGTGTTGAGCACCACATCCATGCTTCACTCTGAGCACAGGTTGCCTGCCTGGGTCATGGAAGAACGACATCGGGCTTGCAGCCCCCCCTGGGGGCGCCAGGCTGCTTGCTTGACTGATTTCCTGCTGATGTCTGTTGCTTCTTCCGTCTCTCTCTCTCTCTCTTATCTTGGCCAAGCTGCTTGCTGGATAGATTTCCTGCTGATGTCTATTGCTTGTTTCGTCTCTCTCTCTCTCTCTCAGCCTGTCTCGTGCTTCCCGACGGCAACAGACTCCCAGAGCTTGGACGACCGAAATGGGGACATCACACATCATGGTGACGATGCCCACCAACACATGCTGCCCCAAGCCGGCCGAGACCGCCGCTGCGCGGGCGCCTCTCTCTCTACAAGCGACAGGCAGCCCGCGGCGATTCCGAACACGAGCCTCGCTCGAAGTGGGCAAGAAGTGCTGTCGGTTATGTTGTCCCCATTGTACTTAAGGACCACACCCCAGAAATAATTTCGAGCACACGGCAAAGTGTCGATTCAGTGTCGAACGAGTGTCGCCCAGGGCCCGACAGGTGAAAAACACACAATTTCGGTACTTTCCTGGTGCTCGAAATTCTTTCCGGTGATCAAGGCTAGAGTAGGCTGGAACATCATAGGCTGCCGGCCTTCGCCCCCATCCGTCCCGTTGCAATCATCACTGTGCGCGCTCATCCATATCATCGGAGCGGCCACGCTCGGGAATGACCCGAGGCAAGAGTGACCTCTGGTGCGCGGCTTTCGGGGGGGCGCGAGGGGTCCAAAACCAAGAGCGCAAGCCGCTGCTATCGCATCGTGTTCAGCCACCGAGGGGTGTCCAAAGGCCACTCTGGTGAAGGGCCACTCTCATGAATACAATCGGAAGAACATCCCTCAAAAACACGAGGCCCTCCGCCGGCAAACACACACACACAGCATGCGAGGGTACCCTCCCCAAGGTGCACAAGAACATCCAACAGAAACGAAAAACACTAGGATACCCTCCCCGAACCGACCTCGACCGTATACCTCGGTCCCTCGGTCCGACTGCAGATGGGGTCGATGGATCGCGCCGCATCGACAGTGCATCGCCGATGCATCGGCGACGTACGCATCGGCGACGTCGGCGGTGCATCGGCGACGTCGGCGTTGAGAACTTCGGGGTACACATCGAGCCGCCCCGCCCGGCGCGACCCTCCGACCCGCCGCCTCCTCCTCCTCCTCCTCCTCCTCCTCCTCCTTCCTCCGTCCTCCGTCCTCCGTCCTCCTTCCCCTCCTCCTCCTCCTCCTCCCCCTCCTCCTCCTTCCTCCGTCCTCCTCCTCCTCCTTCCCCTCCTCCTCCTTCCTCCTCTTCCTCCGTTCCTCCTCCTCCTCCTTCCCCCTCCTCCTCTCCCTCCTCCTCCTCCTCCTCCTCCTCCTCCTCCTCCTCCTCCTCCTCCCTTTCCTCCTCCTCCCTTTCCTCCTCCTCCCCCTTCTCTGCTCGGACCCCACCCGGGAGGCGGCCTATGGAGGTGTACGGCTGGCGCCCTCCCGATGTCCAGCGATCTGGGGGCGCAGCCCCGAGGACCCTGCGGAGCGCTGGGGACGGACATCTGAAGGGGCCCCAGGGACACACAAACAAATACACACAAATAAGCAGATTCCCCATACTTTCCCCATATTTTCTGGGTCTCTGTCTCCCCCCCCACTGCTCATATTTTCCATATTTTGGGGGGAATCGAGGATTCGTTGTGTCTGTGTGTGTGTTTTTCTTCCCTCCTGCACATCTCTCGGCACACCCGCGGTGGGGCGGACCAAGGCGGGGGAGATGCCACAGCCAAAAACGGCCGCGGCCGCAGGCGGCTTCCGTACCAGCTGGACAGCGCCCGTGGCGGCACCGACAGCGAGTAGCCGGCCCCTAAGGGACTGGCAATGCCATCGGTCTCCGACCCCAACCTTTCCCTGCGCACCTTTTCGCGTGCAACCGGCGGTGCTGTTCCGATGGTGCCGCCACGGTCGCCTGGTCGAAGCCTGCCGGGTTGGTGACGATGGTCGCCAACTCCGCGTCCTCGCTCTCGGCCTCCTCGGGGGGGGGGGGGGCGGTCTCACCTCTCAAGTCTCGTCGTCCTCGTGGCTCGTCGAGGAGGGCCTCTCTCTCTCTCATTCCCCTCCGTCTTCCTCCATCCTCACGCTCCTCTCCTCCAACTCCTTTCCTCCAGCTCCATGGACAAACAATTCCGAGGCCCTTCAAGAACCCCAAAGGCCCCTAGAAACCATGGAGGCACTTGAAGCAAGCCGCGAATCCCTTGCCTAGATCTGAGATCCACTCAAAGGCGGCCAGGTGGGCGGGCGGGGGTGGGGGCGATGCCCGCTGATCGCCACATGTTGGCACGGCCCTGACCCCTGACCTATGATATCAATCGAACCCAACACCTTGAGCAAAAGGGGTGTCGCACTCTGGGTGTGCATCCGCGTGTGCCTGTGTGTGTGGTCGTATCGATCGAGAGAGAGCGCCCGCAGCAACATATTAAATCCGATGTCCTTCTCCTCATGATCCTCCCTCGTTCTCCACCTCCTCCTCTCCTTCCTCCTCTGTGTCCTCCTGTGCCGCTGAAATTTGGTATATGAGAAGGTCAAAGAGGGAGCGGGAGAGAGAGAGAGAGAGTGTTTGTGTGTGTGTGCGTGTGTGTGTGTGTGTTTGTGTGCGCGCGTGTATGTGTGTGTACGTTTGTGTAATCGTATCGGTGGGTGCAGCGCGCAGGAATCGGCACACGCAAACACCATCGACATTGGACGAACGGTCGCGGGGTTAGGATTCGAATTTCGCCGCGAATTCGACGACTTCTGAACCCTAACCCCGCCGCCGACCGAGTTGCCTGAACCGTTGATCGGCCAGGGTGCAGTCATCTCGCTACCAGGAGGAACGCTAAAGGAGGAACGACGCCCATCGTTTGTCCCACAAGCGTCTGCGTGGAGAAGGAGCGCCAGAGAAGCCGCAGTGGCAGGGACCCGGGGAACAGCGAGCCCCTCCCGCACCCAGACGGTTCCTTACCTCGGCGTCTTGACTGCACCGCGGGAGCTCAACTCAGGGGGACGTAAGACCTGGGTACAGTGGACTTGGAAATCCCCGGCGAGGTCGTCAAACAAAAAACGAGGCCGACGTTTTGACGAGGCCTCCCGCTGCAGACATCCCACGAAACTCCTCCTCGTCAAAATCCGAGGCGCGGTCGTCAAAAAACGATGGCGAACCCGAGTCCTGGCAAACCCGGGTCTTACGCTCCCCCGATCAACCACAAGAAACCTCCCACAAGGAACCCAACCCTGAGACCCCGAATACGTCTATCGTCTTCTTGCGCGGGAGCGCTACGCCTCCCGTGGCAAAGCCTCCGGGGGCCCCCAAAAAACCCCGGGCCCCCCGGAGGCAAGCAAGGGGGGTGCTTCCTGGCATGGGCTTCCGCTGCAGGGGTTCGGATCTCGCCGCCGAGCCGGCGCGACGGGCCAGGAGAATCCAGGATCGAATCGACAAGTCGGATCAGCGATCGAAATCGACGGATCGGCGGACATCGACGGACAGCGACAGCCGGGGACATCGACAGCCGGGGACAGCGACAGCCGGGGACAGCCGGACTGCAGGGGTCGGATCGGCGGACATCGACAGCCGGGGCGGGAAAGGTCGGATCGGCGGAAATCGGGAGGCCAGCATGCCTCCCATGAGAAATCGGGACCCACATCGGAACCCCGAATCGAATCAACTCGGAATCGGAAGCCATCAACATCGAATCGAATCGAATCGGGGGAATCGAAACGAGCCCTGGGAGGGCAGCAAGATGTCCCAAAAGCGCCCCAAGAGGACCCCAAGACCTCCCGAAAGAGCCCCGATAGGGCTCAGAGAGGCGATGTTGAGGGCTCAGTCCTCGCCCTCGTCGGCCATTCTCCTCCTCGTCCTCGTCCTTGCCCTCATCGTCTCCCTCTTCCTTTTCCTCCTCTTCCTCGTCGTCGTGGTCGTCGTCGTCCTCCTCCTCCCCGTCACCCTCACCCTCCTCCTCCTCCTCCTCCTCCTCCTCCTCCTCCTCCTCCTCCTCGAAGCGAGCCCTGCGGGTTGGCCACGCGCTCCGGACACAGCCGACACACCGCGGGCTCCAGGAGCTCTCGGGAAGACGCTGCGTGCTGGGGCTCGGGCCGCGGGGGCCTGCGGCGAGGACGACGACCGAGATGAGCAGGGGGGGGGCAGGGGGGGGGGGGCAGGGGGGGGGAGGGGGGGGGAAGGAACGGAAAAGGAGGAGAGGGAGGAGGGGGGAGGAGGGGAAAAAAACGAGGGAGGGAGGAGGGCGGAAGGGAGGGAGGGGGTGAACCAAACTAGGTGCGCTCGCGTCATATCTGACGTCCTACCCCTCCCTCCCATCCCTTACCATGGCGCTGATTTTCTCTATCCGCGGACGCGTGTCGTAGCGGACCTGTGGCTCCGCGCGCGCGTGCGTAGTGGGTGGTGGTGCGCGTGCGTGCGTGCGTGCGTGTGTGCGTGGTTGTGGTGGTTGGGTGGTGTGGTGGTGGTGGTGGTGGTGGTGGTGGTGGTGGTGGTGTGGTGGTGGGTGGGTGCTGGTGCTGGTGGTGGTGGTGGTGTGGTGGTGGTGGTGGTGGTGGTGGTGGTGGTGGTGGTGGTGGTGGTGGTGGTGGTGGTGCGGCGCGGTGGTGGCGGGCGGATGGGCGCGCGAGAAAGAGGCCCGCGCTGGGGCGAGAACGCCATCCTGAACGACGGAGGCCAAACACCGATCCGAAAATGAGGCCCACGCCGCAGCGGGAGCACGATTCGGAACGATTCGGGAGCAGAAATGAGGCCGGCGCCTCAGCGAGAGCAGCATTTTTGAAAAAAAAAACACAAGCGAAAACCCAACTCCGGGGAATCCTGTGTAAAAAAAACAGTACGCGGGGGGGTGCCGAATATCTTCCGGACGCCATCAGGGGAAGTGGGAGAGTATTTTCATATTGTGTAATTGTAGAAGGTACGCGAGCTTCGGGGATGGGCTCGCCCCTGACCACTACAGGGCTGGGCAGGCAACCTGCTGCATCCTTGCGATTAGGTACAGGGGGAGGAGGATGAGGAGGAGGAGGAGGAGGAGGAGGAGGAGGAGGAGGAGGAGGAGGAGGAGGGGTAGGGAGCAGGATGAGGAGGGAGGCGGAGGAACGAAGAGGGGGAACAACAGGGGTTGACTAGGACTGGACGAAAAGAGGGCAGATAGGGCAGGGCTAAACTCTCTGCTGCGGACGGGTCCGCCGAGCCTGGGCCATGGCGGGGCCATAAGGATCCAGAGTATGATGGCAGAGCAGGCACGCATCTTAGCTAGTAGCAAAGAAAGCCACGAGCAAACATAAATGCAACAACGCGCAGGAATTATCCGCCGGCCCCCTTGTGGGGCCACCAGGCTGTAGGCCCGTGATTCGCAGTTTCCTGTACCAGTCGTAGGTTGTAGTTTCCAGTGTTACAGTTCTGCTTCTTGCTGGTTACTGTAACTAGTTGACTTATTGCTGGTTACTGTAACTAGTTGATTGACCGCGCGAGGGGGGGGGAGGCCCAAAGTGGCTTTTTAGCGTCCCCTGGGCGCGTTGTCTGAATTGCTGGGGGGCTCGAAATCGACACCCCTCACGCAGATCCGCGGGGCCAGGGTCCAAAAACAAAGGGGATTTGCCACATTTCTGAAATTCGGTGCCACCCCTCACGCAGATCCGCGGGGTCAGGGTCCAAAAACACAAGGGATTTGCCACATTTCTGAAATTCGGTGCCACCCCTCACGCAGATCCGCGGGGTCAGGGTCCAAAAACACATGGGATTTGCCACATTTCTGCAATTCGGTGCCACCCCTCACGCAGATCCGCGGGGTCAGGGTCCAAAAACACATGGGATTTGCCACATTTCTGAAATTCGGTGCCACCCCTCACGCAGATCCGCGGGGTCAGGGTCCAAAAACACAAGGGATTTGCCACATTTCTGAAATTCGGTGCCACCCCTCACGCAGATCCGCGGGGTCAGGGTCCAAAAACTGAAGGGATTTGCAACATTTCTGAAATTCGGTGCCACCCCTCACGCAGATCCGCGGGGTCAGGGTCCAAAAACACATGGGATTTGTACATTTCTGAAATTCGGTGCCACCCCTCACGCAGATCCGCGGGGTCAGGGTCCAAAAACACATGGGATTTGCCACATTTCTGAAATTCGGTGCCACCCCTCACGCAGATCCGCGGGGTCAGGGTCCAAAAACACAGGGATTTGCCACATTTCTGAAATTCGGTGCCACCCTTCACGCACATCCATCGCAAGGCGTGGTAACCCAAACTGCGAGAACTCCCTCGGCCCTTTAATCGCAAGGTGTGGTAACCAAGCCCGTAAACCATACACGTCTTACCAATCGCCAGGTGTGGTAACCCCTCTTGTGATCAGTTGGTTTTGCTGATTGCGAATCGGCTTCGCATGAAGTTTCGATACTGCTTCACGACAGCGCCAAGGCCTCATGACTTAGCTCTTCCATGGCCCATTCTCCGAGAGAGGGGGCCGGCGGCAGGGGGCGAAGCCCTTACGGATTAAAAGTGTGAAAATCTAGAATTGAGAAATTCTAAAACATCTGAAACTTAAGATGTTTCCCACATGCAGGAATGTTTGAGTTCCCCCGCCGGGCGGGGGAACTCAAACAGCGGCAAACAGTCTCCGAGGCCATGCTGCTTTTTCGTGCTTTTTCCTCTGGCCTGGGTCAAGGGCTGCGGCTCGCAGGTCTGCAGTGGGACTGTCACGGGTACACTCTTTGGCTGTCTCGGGGGGCGTCCTGGGCCGTCTCCAGGCCCTCGGGGGGGCTCTCTCATACGCCCGGGAGGGGGAACTCCTGTCAAGACGCACAAATGTCCAACCACAAATGCTGCACGAACCAAAAACGAAGAATACTCCTGCCTCGAGACACAAATGGGGCACTCCTGTCCCACGACTCGAAAGGGGTACGGACAAAAAAGGGTCCAATGCCCAACCACAAATGTTGTCCAGAGCCGACCGCGGCCGCTGTTGGGCAGGCGGCTTCTGGTGCCCAGAGAACAGCACCCGCGGCGGCGCGGACAGCGAGTCCTGTTCAAAATGTGCGCGGCCCAGCGGGGGGGCCAGGGACGTAATGAACTAAGAAGAGGCGCCATGAAATCTGGGGAAGTACCATGGCCCCCGCCATGATATCCCCCCCCCCTAGTCATCCCCCCCCTCTCTGCCGCACCCGACAAGAACTGCTGGTGGGCATCGTACCCACCCTTTCCGTACCCATTCCGATCGTGCCGTTCCTGGCCGCGGGCCGGGCTCGCGCCCCCCCCCCCTGGCGGCCGCCCGCCCGCTCCTGGCCGCGCGAGCCCCACGCGAAGTAGAAGCGCTCCCCGACCTGGGGCGGGGGCGCCCATGCGTCCCCCCTTGGCGCCGCCCCTGGGGGACGGTGGACCCAAGGGTCCGACGCTCCAACAAAACTTGGAGCGGCGGGATTCGGCTCTTTTTCGGCCTCCGGGGGCCCTCGCCGGGTCTCGAGAGCGTCAAAAAACGATTCAGGACGAAACACCGGCTCCGGGGGAGTCGTCCGGACCTCTGGGGCCCACGCATCGGACAAAAATTGGAGCGGCCGGATGTCTGGGGAGAGGGGCGCGAGCGAACCACCACAACGTGCAGATGTCCGGGCCCAGCTAAGAGCAGATGGGTGAAGCCATGACCTCTTGGATCTGATACGCATGACATGCAGACCTGTATTGGAACTGCAAGATACCTGAAAAATTGCATCTGAGGGGGGGGCGGCGGGCGGAACACGTCGCCGTCGTGGGCGAATCGATCGGGCGGAAAACGTCGCCGTCGTCGTCGTTTGTGGGCGCCGGGCGTCGTCGGCGTCACCGCCATCAGCGCCGTCGTCGCCGTCGTCGGCGTAATTGGCGTCGTCGACGTGGGCGAGTGCGTCAGTCGGGCGGGCGGGCGGGACACGTCGTCGCCTTCGTTGCGGGCGAGTCGCTCGGGCGGGCGTGTGGGACACGTCGTCGTCGTCGTCGTCGTCGTCGTCGCCGTCGTCGTCGTCGTCGTCGTCGTCGTCGTCGTCTGGGCAAGCTGGTGCGCGCGCACCATTTCGGACATCCTGACCCTCCCACCCATTTCTCGACCCGCCAACGGCTGTCACACACCTGGACCCCCCCAAATGACCGTGACCCCCCCAAATGACCGTGACCCCATCGTGTCGGTACTTTCAGAGCGGGGAGCTGGATACACTGGCGGGGGGGGGGAAATGGCCGGGGCGGAGGTGATTGCAAAGATCAGGCTACCCAAGGGGCCGACAGACGTCCCAAGAGGCCATCAGGAGGGGGCCAGAAGGCTCCCTAAATGCAGGATTCGCCTACGGCGTCTCGGGTAGGACCCATAGCCCAACACCAGGGCCCTCCCGCCCAACATCCGCCGTCCAGGACTGCAGGACCCGTCGCCGGGGACCCTTCGTACGGCGCAGGACCGCCTCCCATTCAGCCCACCCTTGGTGCAGGGATGAGGCAAGTCGCTCGGCCACACTCGCTCTGACCACTGCGCTTTCTCGGGGACTGGCCGGTGTTGGCTAAGCATAGCCCTGCCCAGGCAGCCACCTTGCAGTCGCCAGCGCTTCTGGCTGCAATTGCGGACGTGCGATGATGGGCCCTGCGCACGGTTCGGATACGCGAGACTCCACACGTAGACCATGGGCGACAGGCTGCTCAATAAAAACGTTACTTCCCGAGCTCGAGGATCACAAGGTCAGTTTCACCAATCAGGCGGACGATGACGCACGCAATCACGCCTGCAAAAGAGAGTGCTCCAGTCATGACTCCGAATTGCCCGGCGTAACCTATGTTTGCAAAACTTGCGGTGACCAGCATGAATAGCGCGTACGTCAAATAATTCAGCACGATCTTGTGGTGCACGTGATTGCAGTGTAGCCCGACACCGAGGATGCCAAACACGGTGGGGGTCCACAGGTCAAAGAACGCATTGGGCCTGAATGTGAAGACGTCACGCCACCCCGAGTTGCAGTCTTCACGCAAGAAACTGCAATCCGAAACCTCCACGTGTGTGTCCTCCAACTTCTGTATGACGTGGCCCAGCCCCACAACCATGGTCACTGCAGACGCGAGCAGGCAGACGCAGGACGCGGCCGTCCCCGCGGAGCGAGACATGGCCTTCTAAGTTGTAGACGGGTGTAAAAACGCCGTGGGGTGCCAGGCAGGCGACGTCAGCGGCGCGCTCTTCTGGCGCGCTGGAAATGACGAAGGGCCGAGCATGGACTCGAGCCAAACTCTACAGCTTGCTGTCGATCTCGCAATTCCGAGCGTGCTTGTGTCCGCACCACCAGATCAGCTGCCCCTTTTCACGCTCGCTGGAACAGAACAATGGCCTCTCAACGACGCAGCAACGCCTCTCGCCATGCTGCGCCCCCCCACCACTGCCAATGCGCACGCCCGAAGCGGTGGGGCTCGGGGGAGATCGAGGACGAGGACGGTGAGTGCTCGAAGGGTGGTTTTGGGAAGGGTCCTGAGGACGAGAACAAGGACGACGAGGGCTCGAAGGGAGGCTTTTTGGGGGGGGGTTCTCGGGATCCGATTGGAGAGTCCCAAACCCAAATCCCCCTTCGGTCCGTTCGAGCCTGGACCACACGCTGCTGCCGATGCTCATCCACCTGTCGCTGCCGTTGTTGTATTCGTCTTCTTTCTCTCCTCCACTCTCCTTCTCCTCCTCCTCCTCCTCCTCCTCCTCCCCCTCCTCCTCCTCCTCCTCCTCCTCCTCCTCCTCCTCCTCCTCCTCCTCCTCCTCCTCCTCCTCCTCCTACTCCTCTCCGTAGCCACTTTGGCTCATGCCAGCCGGCAGCGCGCAGCCCCCCCCACCTCGAGCCCGCTTGCCGTGCGCGCCCGAAGGGTGCTGGCGGGGGCTGCTGCGGAGCGCGAGATGTGAGATGCCTACGGCAGGTTAGCGTCGTGCCTACTTCGGCGTTGGCCCCTGGCACCGCGAGCATCGTTCAGCCTTGAACGATCAGCCGTTTCCGAAACGTCAGATCGTTCAACATCGCCCGATTCTGGGTCGCCAGCGGCGTTCAACCTTGAACGCCGGCGGCGGGGTCGCCGCCCGTCGACACGACGCGAACCTACCGTACAGGATGCGATCCTTCCGCGGTGGCGCAGGGAGGTTGCTCCGCGGAGCGGCGCGCGCGGCGAGCCAGGGCCGCGGCAGCTCCCGACTCCGATCCGCACCGATCTGTGATGGTCCCAAGGCCCGAACCCTGGAAAGAGAACGCCAGGTGCGGAACAGCTGGGTATCCCCACCGATCGGGCGCTGCGCAGTGTAGGGGCGATCAAGGGGGGGGGGTGACAAGAGGTGCACTTCCTTTTTTTTAAAAGAGGTGCACTTCCTTGTGTCCCCAAGGGGACCCCCTGGGTGCCCAAAAGGGGCACGACAGGTGCCGACCGCGGAGGCGCTGGGCGCCATCGCAGGCTGCGACGGCGACCCGGCCGACGGGGCCCTCGGCCGTGCTGCCCGCCTCGAGGCGGCCCG